ACAACAACAGCAGCAGCAGCAACAACAACAACAACAAAACCCGACAACCCTTCGATATAGCCATCAGCAACAATCTGGGGCAGAGGAATATATTCGTCGTGTTCGTCAGCATGTCGACAATAACAACAACAACAGCAGCAGCAGCAACAACAAAAAAAACCCGACAACCCTTCGATATAGCCATCAGCAACAATCTGGGGCAGAGGAATATATTCGTCGTGTTCGTCAGCATGTCGACAATAACAACAACAACAACAGCAGCAGCAGCAACAACAAAAAAAACCCGACAACCCTTCGATATAGCCATCAGCAACAATCTGGGGCAGAGGAATATATTCGTCGTGTTCGTCAAGACGGAGAGTGTGAAACCGCTCGGGGCTCGCCGCCAGGCAGCCCGTATCGCCTTGCGAGCCGGAGACTTTGGGCCCTGGGCCCCACCGGCACTACCGCCCATACATCGAGATTATTCATGAGCCGTCGGTCATTTTAATGGGCGCGTCGTTCGTTTTAATAGCCCTGGGATGTTTCTAGCTGCTTTTTTTTTTGGCGTAAGTCTAAAAAAAAAAACCTCTCAATTCAATTGATTTATATCTTTTTTTTCAATAATTTTTTTGGTATTCTTTTTTCGTCGTATTTTATTGTTTTTTACGAGCCGGCCCACCGTGTACGCGCGAGTGAATGACGCTCTCTTTGTGACCACCAGTGTCGATGTCCCCGGCTTATCGACGCACCCGTGATAGCCGCCAGCCACCAACATGGGTTGAAATCGCAGTTGGTCGACCGCCAGGTTGCGTGTGGTAAAGTGTGGATCCTCCACGCCTCTTCCCTCCGCATTTAGGACATCCCTCCACATGGAGGAACGTGCCCATTGATTAATTATTGACATTATACATGCATACACATAATACATACATACACACATTGCGTACAAACAGACACATAATACATACATACCCACATTACGTACATACGTTCACGTAATACATACATACACATTACATGCATACACACATTACGTACATACATACATAACACATTCCTGCGGAGGGAGCTGGTAGGAACGTTGGGTTTGCTCGGTCAATGGCCAGGGTCAACAATGGCGGCACCACGTGGTGTATTCCGCAAATATTGCCCGACTGTGAGGGCGGGCACAAGCCGGCGTGAGTAGGTTAAACGTTGAGTTTTATAAGGGCACCACGGGGTAACCAGCCCCTCCCCCACCCAGCCCCACCCCTCCCACCCAGCCCCACCCTCCCCACCCAGCCCCTCCCCACCCTCCCCTCCTCACCCAGCCCCACCCTCCCCACCCAGCCCCACCCCTCCCATGTTTGGATGCACGACGGACGGACGGACACAATATTCCCCTGTGGGCTGGTGTGACCAGGAGGTTCCTACCAGTGTAAACATCACGCACATCATACATCCTGTACATTACCTCACGAAGCAGTCCGTAAAGAGCCACTTGGTCGGGATTGAAACTCCATTTCTTTAGAACTGGTTGTTGTTGTTGTTGTTCTTTAGTTTGTTCCCCTTCCCCCAGGACCTCCAATTAGCTACGTACAGTGCGAAAGAAATTCAATCACCGGGTAAAAGGACGCCCCCTCCTTTGCAAGCTCCGTTTAACGATTCGTAATTAAAGTGGCGAAGACTCCCAACCTGCCACAAACGGCGCCTAATTATTAGTTCTCATCGTCAAACCAATTTCCCCTTCATTATTCCACTAAGTGACTGAGAGTCGGAACGGTGGCTCGGCTCGTTTCGCGAGAAGGGCAATGAGCGAGGAGTGGGGGGGGGGGGGGGGGCGAGGGGGGGGGGCGCTACCTCTCAGCGTCATTACCAAGGCGAGCGGCTTTCTGTAAATAATTGAGGTTTCACGCGGGTTAATTAGGTTAGAAATTAGCGATTTGGAAATTAAATCTCCAAAGGTCAAATTCCGAAGCGGACTTTGAGTGAGCGGCATGGGCGGGAAATGGGGTTCGTTCGCTTTGATTGCAGCGGCTGAACGTCGTGCAAGTTCATATGGCCACCGCCTTCAGGGATCCCTCATTCAATTGCTCATTCGATTGCTCATTCAATTTCTCATCCGATTGCTCATTGAATTGCGCGTTCAATTGCCCATTCAATGTCTCATTCCATTGCTCATTCAATTGTTCTTTCAATTGCTCATTCAATTTCTCATCCAAATGCTGATTCAATTGCTCATTAAAAGCCTCCCCCACCCCCACATTTAAATCAAACTGGAAGTCGTCGTTTGGTAAGGCATAAATTATGCAGTGCCCACAATTTTTCATTTCCAGACACTTCAAACTGGCGAAGTGCCCTCATTGTTATCGTGGTTATATTATGGGACCCTTTTTTCTTGCCAGTATCAAAGTATAAAAAAATAAGAATAGGTTTTACCCTTTCTGGCAATAAAACAAGAGACGTTGAGATCTTCAAACACCAAATAGAAATCTTTTGCAAGGAATAAAGTCGGCCCTAACCACACACAGTGCTTGTGGTGAACATGCGAACAAAAAAAAAACATGCTCTCATAATGTTTGCGTTGTCTTTGAAACTGATTGGCCTACACCAGAGACAGCCTTCTTGATGGCCTCGTCTCACCAGTGTCAGACCAGCGAACGCCAAAACGCGAACAGTACAAAGACAATGCCACTATCAGACCACGTCGAGCTCGGGGTGAGCAGATTTCTCGTGTGTTGTCGTGGTTGCAGTTGATTTTCAGAAGAAGTTTTTTTTTCTATCGTCGTCATTTACGTTCAGAGTCCCCATTGCAGATCACAGTTGAGTACATCGATGGAGATTTTAAAGGCGCAGCCCATGCAATGTCCTGGTCATGTCACCGCTGCTAATTACCAAATTTGCAGTTTCCTGTCCACCATCAATCTACTACATCTAAAACAATCTGGGTTCCGAAAAAAATACAGCACCACATCTGGTGCATTAGACTATCTGAATCACATTTACAGTAGCTTTGATAATAAGCAGTACTGTGTCTGTCTTTTTCTAGACCTGTCCAAAGCTTTTGATACAGTGGACCACAACACCCTGCTTAGTAAACTAAGTTGCCTCGGTTTTTCCGAAAACGCAGTAAAATGGTTACAAAATTACCTCTTTCCTCGCACCCAAACTGTATTCACAGATGGTTGGAGGTCAAACAGTGTTAAGATAACAAAACGGGATCCACAGGGTTCCATCCTCGGCCCCCTTTTGTTCTCTCTTTATGTCAATGACTTGGGCACTGACCTGGATCATTCCAGGGTAAATCTTTTTGCAGATGACACGATACTGATTACTGCTGGCCGCTCTCCGGATGACGTGATTGCTAAGCTACAGGGTGATTTCAACAAACTACAACATCAGCTAGTTGCTCTTAAACTAGTCCTGAATACCTCCAAAACCAAGGTGCTATGCTTCTCACCAGGACTAAAGCAGGAAGTTATTTTTCCCCAATTACATTCCTTAAATAATTATCAAATAGAGCAAGTCAAGATCTATAAGTATATTGGGGTCATCCTGGATTCAAAACTGAATTTTGAACATCACATTGATTATATTGGTAAAAAGACAAAAATAAAAATTGGTTTTCTGTATCGACACAAGCACTGCTTCCCCCCAATGTTCCCTTTGGAATTGATAAAAGCTACCATACTGCCTCTACTTGACTACTGTGACATCGTGTATAAATCAGCCCCAAGTACTGTACTGAAGAAGCTTGATTCCATTTATCACTCGGCCTTAAGATTTACATTGAACTGCCCATAGAGGACTCACTACTGTGATCTCTACATTGGGTCAAATTTAACATCTCTTAATATTCGACGGCTTGTGCACCAGATCTTATTTATTCACGATGTACTTACAAAAAAATCCGCAGACTACCTGCTGGATCTCCTCTCTGTTTCAAAGAACAAATTTGACCTCAGTTCTTCGCTCATTTACCAGCTCCACATTCCCTATTGCTATTGATGCCCCCAGAGTCTGGAATGCTATTGCCAATAAACTGCAACTTGAATCGCTACCAATGATATCTTCTCTCAAACCTGCTCTAGAGGAGTTGTACACCCCTAGCTGCCACTGCTATTTATTGGCGTAAAATAAAATAAAATGTTTCGCTCCGGATGACGCTGCAAAGTATTATCTGTATTTTGATTTACCGTGATGAACTTAAAGGTGCATTGAAAAATTTGATACTCCGACTGATGCTTCTGTTGTTGTGGAGTAACTCATACAGCCAGCAATATGGCTCTAGGATTTTGTGTTACATGTTATTTACGTAGTTTATTGTAAAAATTCGGTCACAGTCCCTGTGATCACTGTTACGTTACATTTATGGTTTACATTTTTTTGGTGATTTCGAAAAAAAATTGGTTTGGACATGTTTTGTTTTGTTGTAGTACAGAGTTAGACTGATGACCTTAATCTAAGTTTTCTTGTGGTTGTTGTTGTTTGACTTGCATCCCACTGGGATTTTTTGCACACAGCGTTGGTGTACGGTGCTTATTTCAGGAATATTTTGCCGTTTTTTTCCATGGATTTTCTGTTTGCACAGTCACATAGTCACTTTAAGATGTTTTTCTTGTTCGTGTTTTTGTTTTTTTGTTTGTTGTGGTTGCACCCGATTCAAGAGCCAAATGGCTCACAGGGCTATACCAAAATAAATTAACTGAAAATAAATAAACTGAAAACTTAAACTGAACCGCTGGCGGAAGGACCTCCACTAGAGGGAGCTTAAGACAGAACCTCTAGATAGACGGTATTTTGGCCGACTCCTTTCACGCTGGCCACACAGAATATTGAGTTGTATACTGCTGGAGGAATCCGATGAGCTATGAAGCTCTTTTTTTCACAGATGTTCATTAGGGGCGGGTAAGAACGTGACAACAACAGACGATACAAAAAACACGAAAGGAGTGCAAAGGTACAGGAAAGGTAAACACATCCTTTAAAAATGTATATGCAAATGAAACGACAATAATGTTTTTTTCTTACCAGGTAAAGCCCACTGCCCTATTAGCTTTTTTTTTAGTGAGCAACCTGGCCACAAATGACAGCTCAAGCAAGTGGCTCATTGCGCGGACATTTAAAGCGGCGAAATTATCTCAATAATATCTAAGCGCGTTTCTTTACACGTGGAGGGATTACTTTTTTGTTTAATGTGGAGGGAGGAGGCCTCGGGAGTTACCCACTCTTTGCCCCACCAGCACATGCAGCATGCCGATAGGCTGGCTGTGGTTGAAGCCATGTTTGTTTGTTGTAGTACGGAGTTAAACTGATGGCTTTAATCTAAGTTGTCTTGTGGTTGTTGTTTGACTTGCATCCCACTGGAATTTTTGCACACAGCGTTGGTGTACGGTGCTTTTTCTGTAAGTTTTTGCTATTTTTCCTGAATATTTCTGTTTGCGCATAGTCACTCAAAGATGCTTTTCTTGTTCATGTTTTTATTTTTGTTTGTTGTGGTTGCACCCGTTTCAAAAGCCAAATGGCTCACAGGGCTATACCAAATAAATGAAACTGAAAATGAAACTGAAACGTATACCGTCTGCGTAGACAGGGGGCGGAAAGCGAGATTAAAGTACTGTGCGCTGTGTTTTGACTGCCGTTAAAGGGGAGTTTCTAACCGATCTCAAGTCAAGGGTGAGTATTATTATTATAGATGCAGAACACCCCAGCAAACCGTCTCTTGATGGATATGAGAGATCAGAAATGTGTTTAACGAAAGGCCACGCAGGTAATGAGCACACGTGGACATTAATTACCACCGTCCGCGGTGGGCTCGTGGCAGTTGTTCGCGCACGCACGCACTGGCTACGAGCCCAGCCGCATGAGTTTAACTCCTAGCGATGGTTTAAGCATGCACGTGAGTCGAGCATGTGTCGAGAAACATGAGTCTAGAACACGATTCGAAAACGCGAGTCGGGCACGTGAGTCGAACACGTGAGTCGAGAACACGTGTCGAACATGTGTCGAGCATGCGTCGAGAACATGAGTCGAACATGCGTCGAGAACATGAGTCCAACATGCGTCGAGAACACGAGTCGAGAACGCGTGACCGTCCCAACGGGCAGCAGTTGACACCACGTGGTCACAACGGCAGACCGGTTTCGACTGCTGCGGGATTCCTCGTTGCATGGCTCGCTCCTGCCGTGTGTCTCTGTTAGCCCCTGTGCAGAGTAAGACGAGGGCTTTAACTTTACACCGTGGGGACCCAGCAGCTTGCCTCGTGGCAACGAGAGCTCTCCACAGCAACCCCAACTCACAACCACCTTACATATTCTTTGGGTCTTTCGGTAAAGTCACGTAGATATTGTCTTTGAACCTATCTACGTGACTTTACCGATAGACCCAACGAATATGAATTCCTGCAGTCACGATAGCGCTAAGTCAAGATTTAACCTCCTTACCACCAAAACATGGAACCCCTTCGCTACCTCTTCTCAAGTGGAGCATTATTTCTGAAGGGGATCGTGAGGGCATTTAAGTACCCCCTCCGCCTCTCTGCCCTTTTGTATCTTTCTTCTACAGGGCTATCAGAGCTTAGGAAGACACCAGGGAGTTGCAAGAGTTTATTGAATTCTTTTTTTTAAGCATGCGATTTAAGACAGGTTTCCATTGCACTGTTAATCCGTAATGTGTGTTTGTGCTGGTGACGACCTCGTTTCAGTACCCTCTGTGTTGCGTGCCGGAACCGTCTTGTTCATAAAATACTTTTAAAGACAACAAAACCCCAGTGGCACAGCTGAGTGGGCACGGGCCCTGGTGCGACAAATTAAATAGAGGCTAAAAAAAAGTATTAAAGCTTTCGTGACTGCATAAAATTACTCATTATTTTTTTCGGTAAAGTCACGCAAGCGATCTTGCGTTGTGATCGAAACGTCGTGATTGTTTTTTGTTTTAATATAATTTTGTTGTATTTCTACATACGTGACTTTACCGAAAAAACCAATGAGCAAATCGAGGCTCTTTGTAACCTCCTCCCCAACCCCACCGCCAGTGCAGTCGCACCGCCTGCACGCCGCCGACTCGATGGGCCCCGTGCCGGATGAAGCTTCTCCCCGTCTGCGAAACCGAGGAGCGGGAGGAGCGGGCGGAGCGTGGCCACTGATCGGGCGTCATTTCTCCGTGGCAGGCCCCCGCCGTCTGGAACGCGGACATCATCGTCACCGTCATCATCATCACCATCCTCCTCCTCATCATCATCATCACCATCCTCATCATCATCACCACTATCCTCCCCATCATCACTAGCCTCATTATCCTCATCGTCACCATCATCATCCTCATCATCACCATCCTCCTGCTGCAGCAGCAGCAGAAGCGTTGAGTCTATACGACTTTTAGGAGACACTTCTTCCGAATCAGAATCTCTATTTAGACTGCAGTAGGATGAGCTATAAAACTCACAGATGTCCAGTAGGGGCGGGTCAGAAAGTCACAACAAAAACAATACAAAGACAATACATGCTTGTTAAAGGCCTCACCTCATTGTTAAAAACCACACCTCTTTGTTAAAGGACTCACCATCTTTGTTAAAGGCCACACCTAATTGGCAAAGCCTCATCTCATTGTTAAAGGACTCACCATCTTTGTTAAAGGCCACTGCTGTATATGCCGGGTATTGAAAATTTTAATTAAAATAATAAAAATTAAATTAAATTTGGAAAAGTAATTGATGTAATTATGCGCATAAATTATGCTAATTTTGAAGGTGTAATCGTATAAAGTTATTCGATCGCATGCGATTATGCTAATATACGCAGTTATGATAATTAGGTTCAACCTCGTTGTCGAGGGTAGTATTATCAATCGGAATAAGACAATTAATTGTATGAAGTTATGCAGGTGTGATGTAAGTATGCTAGATTAAGCTCGGCTTCGTTGTCTAGGGTTGTTTTATCAATCGGTATAATACAATTATTCTCGCTTTAACATTTACGCATTATGTCTTAGTGTGTTCATATCAGGTCTCCAAATTCAAATCTCACCGCAGGATACAGTTCTTATAATTAAGATTATTTTGCATGAACTTAAGAAGGACCACTCAGACACTTCTCTGTTAAGCAATTTTAATTTCTAAACAAAACCTTAACACTCTTATATGCGATCTCTTATGCTTGGAATTGTCAACACAGTACTCCTGGAGATGTTACCCTCATCGATCCATACATTTAACCCTCAATGGTTACGTTTGTTAACTGGGTAACAGTACAATCAATTATTCCTCAGAGTACGCGAGCATACGAAGGGCAATAAATAAACATGTCCCGAAGGGCAAGAGCAGATATCAATTAATTCATTGGTAAGATTATGCAATAAAAAATAAAAAAACGAACGACTAAAATACTTCTAAATGACCGTATCCACGTAACTCAATGGGCAGCAATGTTCTTCAAGATCAGTTGATATTTAACGCACCACCTTGGAATGGCAACCCTTCTTGAAACACAAAGGTAACTTTTTGGAACGATCTTATTTGTCCCGATATGCGTGCTGTGTGTCTTCTTTGCCAATTGTTCAATTCTTTGCGTAAAGCGGACGCCGGGCGATGCGTCGTGAGGGTGCGAGTGTGGGGGAGGGTCGTACAAACGGCTTCCCTCTCTCTCTCTTGCTCGGGGGACCGGCCACAGTTTCTGTCCACAGCTGGCTGGAAGAGTCGGCACGACGCTCGCCGTCGGCGCGCGATGATCTCGTCGTCAGATAGCGCCAGCAGCTCGACCGCTGGCTGCAGTTCCTCGCTCTCGTCTTGGTTTTCAGCTGGTGCCGGTCGGTGTTGCGTGTGGGTCGAACCCACGGCGCGCTCGCTGGCGCTGACACTCTCGCTCACGGGCGGCCGGTCAGGCTCTTTCCCCTGCTGGATGAGCCGAGTCGGCACAACGCTTGTCCGCTGGCAGCTGGCACCCTCGCTCGGTGGCGCTGCTGCGCGCTCTCTCTTGCTCCGTCTCTCTCTGTGGCGGTGCCGATTGCGCGTGCAGCTGGTTCTCTGCAATGCTGGTCGATGCTTGCCACTCTCCGCCCTTTCTCGAGGTTGATTGCTTGACGCTGGGAATAACTTTCCAGCGACGCTCTGTCGGTCCATGCCGAACTCAGCACAGAGCATCACCTCGCCCCTCTTCTCTGCGATGCACCACACCCGGAGCTGGCTTGCTGTCCTCTTCCGAGCTGTCCCTTGCCGAGCTGCTGTGTCGAGCTGTCCCTTGCCGAGCTTAAATGTGAAATTATCTCTCCGCGTCTCTTGCGAGAGAGAAAAAAACAACAGATGCCCTCTGTGACCGTCCTCCTCCCGTGGCAGCAGCGGCCTGGCTGCTTGCCCCCCCCCCTTTTTGACCTTTGACCTTTGACTGTTCTACCATCACATTTTGTTTGTTTGCATTTCCAACCCCTCTCTTCGTGGTCTCTCCTATTAGGGAGGGGAGGCACTCTCCCTTCATACCTATTTTATGGCTACCATGTGTTTGTGTCAAATTGTTGGAAGACAAAGGCGGCCGGGGAGGCTCTGATTTCATGGAATACATATTATCTGTACTCTTTGGTTCTATTCGGTAAAGTCACGTAGGTAAAAAAATAAAACAACAAAAATCACGACGTTTCGGCCACAACACAAGCGGCCTTCATCAGGTGAAGGGGACCAGACTGTCTCGAAGACTGCGCTGGAGTTAAACACAGCCAAGCTCTGGTCTTGTGTGTTTGACCTATTTTCTTGTATCTCTTTTGAGTTACCCCAGGTTTAATCTCTTGTGATTATTATTTGGTCTATGTTTAACCAAGATTTGTAATGTCATTAGATGTTACCTCCGGTATTTCAAGGGTTTTATTACTTTTTGCTCCCTGTCTGCATCCAGGGATCCGTGCTTTTTATTCTCGAGGTCAGAGATACAGCTTAGTTTGGACTTAAGTTTTCGTGATTGCAGGAACTCATGCACTTTGGTTCTCTTGGTAAAGTCACGTAGATAGAAAGATACGATAAGAAATAATATAAGGAATACTGCAGTCAATAATGTCGACTTATTCTTATAGCCAAGCTTCAACTTTTTCCGTACAAACAAAAAAAATCAGTTATAATGTCCGTTTTCCCTGTGCTCTGTGTCCGTGCCTGTGATTCTGGATATTTGTTTGTGAACTGTCCAAAGCGCCAAGCAGGTCATGGCATGCAGTCATTTGGCAATCTGGAGATTTTGCAGATCGTCGTCGTTAACCTACCTTTGCTTCGGAGTTTATTATTTAATGGATTTTTACGACCTCCAGATGCTTGGTGCTTGTGGGAGGTAGCGGGTTTGAGGGTGGTTAATTTATTTTATCGATTATTATTATTATTAAACAAATGGCAGAATTATTGTTAATATTATTTTTTTTGGAAAAAGGCCTATATATATACAACACCACACCGCTTTGTTAAAGGCCACACCTAATTGGCAAAGCATCATCTCATTGTTAAAGGACTCGCCTCTTTTGTTAAAGGTCCCACCTCTTTCGCCTGGCTTTCGCGCAGCACCGACCTTGGCCTCGGACCTCCGAGTCGAAGTGCATATACTTTTTGTACCGCTGAAATTTTGTGCACGTCACAAATTGCATTCGTTTTATCATTACAGCATCATCATCATCACCATAATTCAAACGTGTACGAAGAAAGCAATAATTAATTACAGAAAGATTAGTGCAGGCCGGATAAACAAATATATTTCACAACACACATGTGTTGAAGGTGAATATATAAGTAATATATAATAGGATTACTTCATTTGCTTGGCTGGGTATGATGTTGAATGGTACTGCGTAAGTTAGATTTTTTAAATAATAAATCAGTTACGTGTCGATGCGTGTTTTGCTCCGTACGTGTCAATCGACACCCCCCTGGACATCCTCGCAAAATGAGGCGTTCAATCTCAAGGGATTGTCCGGGTGAAACATAAAAATAATAATAAATAAAAATGTATAACGTCATTACGAACCCTGGGCACCTCCAGACGGAGCGTTCGCAGCCGTGACCTTTGACCCGCGGACCATACGAGCCACGCTCGGTTTGCTTCCTTTTTTGTTGTGTTGAATCCAATGGCGGTAAATACAAATTAAGTCTATCCGGCGTTGTTAAACCCCTAAGCGCTTCACTGTAGTTACACCCAATTAAATTTAGTGGCTGCACGACGGTCCAATTTCATTATTCTTGAGGGAGCGAAGGAAGTGGTATATCTACGAATAAAGCGATGGGTTTACTTTTTTTACCATCAATAATAGAGTTTTTTTGTTGTTGTTGGGTTAGATTGCGTGAATGTAAATGTGTCGTAAAACCGGTCACCACCCGACATAGACAATTAGTGATGTTTGTCGCGTAAACAAAACGTGCCAATTCGTTACTAGTTCAGCATACGCCGGTGTGTTGGAGAGTAAACCCACAACATTTACAATTCGAGTACTGTGACGTATCGTCGGTAATTGCAGGCGACAGCCACAGAGTTGTGATGAAATCCTGCTCTTGTCTCTGTTCTCCACGGCCGCGCCCGTCAGCTGTTCCCCTCGTTCCGGCACGAGGTCCGACGTTTCACGCCCATGGTGTGGGTTTCAAGCTGGCACACGCCAAGAACCTGGGTTCAATCCCATGCAGCGGCGTGTGAGGAACGGCACACGAGGGGGTAGGTGGCCAGAAGCCACTCCCGGCCGCCTTTGTCTCCCTAGTGGCAATGTTTACGCACCACACCAGGTACTCATTTGAGGCTGAGTCAACCTAGGGGAGGCCCAGGACCGGTTCAGATAATCGTCACAGGTGTTGACCGTGAGCGGGAATCGAACTCGCGTCTCCAGGTTCATAGCCCAGCGCGCTAACCGCTACACTACCGCTCCCGATAACCACGCACACACGCACACGACAATAAATCCCCACGGCATTCCATTTAATACTGCACTTACATCAGATAAGTTCCGGATCTTTACGAATGAAATATCAGTTCGATTGTCATGCAACGCGCATTCCTCTCGCGTGCGGAGCGAGCGCGAATGTTCTGCCCCACTCCTGCGGGGGGGGGGCCGGGAGGGTAGCTCCGTGGATATCCACCTCCACGGCGAGATTTCCGACTGCGTTCTTCACCTCGTGACAGAACGGCTGCTTTACTTGAGAAATAAAAAGGATATAGGGGTTTTTTATATATATATTTTTGGAGGCAAAAAAAAGGCAGACTTCGCTGACATTCAGCATTTTGTAGTGCCCGAAGAGGTCTCCCAATTTGCTGATGTGATCTGCACATCCCGGCCAGACAGCCGCTGCATCCCGATATTTGAATTCGCGGCTGCTGCTGATGCTGTTACTGCTGATGCTGCTACTTCTGCTGCTGCTGTTACTACTGCTGCTCCTGATGCTACTACCGCTGCTGCTGCTACTGCTGCTCCTACTGATGCTACTACTGCTGCTACTGATGCTACTACCACTGCTGCTGATGCTGCTACTACTGCTGCTGTTACTACTGCTGCTACTGCTGCTGCTACTGATGCTACTACCACTGCTGCTGCTCCTACTGATGCTACTACTGTTGCTACAACTACTGATGCTGCTACTGCTGCTACTTCTGCTACTGTTGGTGCTGATACTGCTGCTGCTACTACTGCTGTTACTGCCGCTACTACTGATGCTACTTCTGATGCTACTACTACTGATATTTCTACTGCTGCTACTACTGCTGCTGCTACTGCTACTGCTGCTACTGCTGCTGCTGCTGCAGGCGACAAGGCAAGTGTAATCCTCACCTTGTCACAACTTCATTTCTCCGGCCCGTTTGCATCCATGGACCCCGCGGGTGCCTGAGATGAATCCGTCTCCCGCTGCGGTGACCTGGGCATAATCGATCTCGCCGCAATGGATTGGTCCGTTTAAAAAGTGCTTTGTTTATATTAAAAAGGAGTTAGGCGTACCCTCAGTAAATAAGGGGCGCTCCGAGTTCCGCAGGAGGGCCATCTGTGTGCAAGGAATTGTGAGTGGTGAATTATTATTATTGTGTTGTTCATCTCTCTCTCTCTCAATGGGAGGACCGTGGTCTGCACGGTGGTGTGTCGTGGGTGGCACGCAAGGGAAACAAATGGGGCCCAAACCTTCTTCCAATTATCTGCCCTCTTCCTGGTCACCAATTTCATTCCCATTGCCTGCGACACTCGACGGCTCTGCCGCTCTCTGGACCCCGTAGGGAAAGGCGCAGTGTCCCTCCCCCCACCGTGAATCTCGTGAATTAACGCCTAACGCTTTGGTAGCCTTAGTCTGGCTCGATGAGCCACGGCGATTAAAACCGAATCCAAGGCCATCTAAGTAGTGCCGGATTAAGCTAGTGCGGGGCCTGTAGCACATGTTATAAAGGGGCCCTAAATTACAAAAAAAAAAATATTAAAACACACATGTTTTACGTGCGTGTTAAAGTCACTGTATTTTTTTCATTTGCTACACAGCCAAATAATACGACAAATCGCTCACATTAAACACCCAGTCGTTCATAAAAAACTTGAAGGCGGTATAGTACTATAGCGATAGAGCAAGTGCAGAATCACTGAACCGGAATTGACAGCTTGAAAGCATTTAGCGCGGGGCCCTTGAAAGTGCGTAGCTCCCGTGGCTACTGCACGTGTAGCTACTACGCGTGCAGCTACTACATTATGCGGCTACGTTTTGCCACGAGAACAATCCGGCACTGGATGGGCCCCGCCGCTTGGGTCTGAATGCCGCGCGCCTCCGGCTCTCGTCTCCTCTGCCGCCCGGTAATTGCCTTCCGCCAAAGCATCCGCTTCGTCAAACTCTCGCAAATGCCGCGGCGCCTGCCGCCCGTCTCCCCGCACGTCGTGGCACGTCGGAGGCCCCTCACCACCCCCCCACCCCTCCCCGCGACCGGCGCTGCTGGTAACGAGCCCCATTACGAATGCACGCCGCTCGCTACTCACCGATAACCTCCCACCACCCACCCCCCTTTATAAACGACTTGGCACACACACTCGCTAACTCGCTCTCTCTCGCTCTCAGCTCAGCTCCTTGACAAGAGAGGGGAAAGCAATGATTAATGCATTTTTCGTGTTCTCGGCCACGGCGCTCGAAACGTCGAGAGCCTTGCCTGAAGGCGCGCGCGTCGGTGACCGAGGCCTGATCAGCGTCGGGCGTCGATGCAGCCGCAACGGAACCCCCAATCCGCCTGAGCGATGCCATCCTCCCCTAGGCACCATCGCGAAGCCCACGCGAGATTGAATACTCGTTTCGCATTTCTTTAGAACTGTTTTTTTTCGTTTGTGTGTTCAGTTTGCTGTCCTTGCCCCGACACCTCCGATTAGCGAGGTTGGCTATGTACATCGCAAAAGAAGTTCAACATGCATCCATACATACACAAATAAGTTCAGCATGCCTACAGGTACATACACATGAGTACCAATTTGCGGGGAATTCATAAGTGCTTGTCCTAAGGATAGACTCGGTCTCGACATAGCGGCGTGGAATTCCCACCGTTGGCTCGGAGCAGTACAGGAGTGATGAATACCGATGCACTAATGAGTGGACATCCGTGAAAAAAACAGCTTTATAGCTCATCACATTCTTCTAATATAGAAACAAATTCTGATTATGAGCAGGAAAACGTCACACGCAGCTAAGACAAACAAACATGCCCACCGTTTCAGAACAGCGCCTTGAGAGATAGACGCATTTTTTGACACGCGCTATATAAACCTTAATAGTCACCCTACAATATTGTAACGGTGGATATCCTATGATTTTGTACTGGGTGAATTGTGAACAAGAGCCACATCAGACATTAGTCCATCTAAATCTTGACTTAAAGCTTTCGTGACTGCAGGAATTCATATTATCTGGGTCTTTCGGTAAGGTCACGTAGATAGGTTGAAATGAAATAACAAAATAACCAAAAGATAACAAGTGTTTTTGTTGTTGTTTTGTTATTTTCTTTGAACCTATCTACGTGTCTTTACCGACAGACCCAAAGAATATTAGTCCATCTGATCGGCATAATCATTGGTTCGCAGCAGCTCAAAGACTCAGTCACTGTAAGGCGTGCGGTGAGGTTAGGAAATGTCCCACATGTTGTGAGCTTGTCATTTTCAGGACTCGAAGACTCGAACCGGTGATATCGCCGACGATGTGTTGACCAGGGAGGCAGTCCCAAATCCGGACAGCAGAGTGAAGGAGGGAGCTTCTGTCCAGGGAGCGATGCTCTGGCAACTGTGTCGGGGGGTGGGGGGGGGTGAAGGCTGTGGCTTGGCAGGGGTTGTGCATAATCATGCGGGCAAGCTGCTCTGCCTTGAAAACCGTGCGACAACAACAATGCGTGTGTGTTCGAATCGCTTGCTTTGTCTATAAATGAGGCACAATTGTGCGTTCCTTCAAGAGCGCAAACATCTCCCGTAGAGCCTCAACAGCCTTGCAAGCGCTGTTAGCGAGCAGCACCTATGGAGGATGGCACGGCGCACGAGGGGGTGGGGTGGCCAGCGCCACTCCCGGCCGTCTTTGTCTCCCCAGTGGCGATGTGAACACTTCGCACGAGGTACTCACTTGAGGATGAGTCGACCTACAGGCACAGGGACCGGTTCAGATAGCCGCTGTCGCTGGTGTTGGTGGTGGCCGTGAGCTGGAATCGAACTCGGGGTCGCTGGCTTCATAGCGCACAGTGCGCTAACCACTTACACTGCGGCTCCCCTACGTTCCAGGGAGATCAATAACAACAACAGTGAGATCAACAACAACAACAAAGAGATCAACAACAACAGAGAGCTCAACAACAACAGAGAGATCAACAACAACAGAGAAATCAACAACAACCGCCATCAACAATGGGGATTTGAGGGGTGGGGGTGAGTGTTTGATGGGACAAAATTCCCAGACAGGTGTTTCGTTTTTATGGGGTTCATGGTAAGGCCCCCACCTTAATTCATCCATTCAATTTAATGTTCCGAGTAATAACTCGCCCCCACTAAAGAGGGCATCGTAATACTTTACAGTATGAATTAAACGAAGGTAGCTCTATCTATAACGCCAAGACGCCTGTTAAAAAAAATATATACAAATAAAAAACGAGAGAGAACATAGTCAAGGGAAAGCTAAAGGTAATAAAAAAAATAGTCTTGCAGACTTTCCCGAACTTAGCGGCACGCTCCCAAGTTGAGCAGCAGCAGCAGCAGCAGCAGAGCCCTCCAGCTTCCTTCCGCGAGTGAGCAGCGATCACCACCAGATCATCAGCGCACATCAGTCACACTGCTGCCCAACACGGAGCAGGCAGAGAGAGAGAGAGACAGAGAGCACGCGCACGCGTGTTTCAGTCTGACGACGACACACTGACAAAGTATTAATTTCGCAACAATTGTGTTTATATTTCATCGGCAATGTCCCGAGGAGCGGCGTCGTTTACCCTCGCGCGATTTTGCGAAGCCGCGCATCGATCCCGCCTCTGATTTACGCCGCGTGCCGGGGTGACACACACACACACACAGGGGTGACACACACACACAGGGGTGACACACACACACAGGGGTGACACACACACACACAGGGGTGACACACACACAGAGGTGACACAAAGACACTCACACAGGGGTGACACACACACACACATAGGGGTGACACACACACACACAGGGGTGACACACACACACACACAGGGGTGACACACACACACACATAGGGGTGACACACACACACAGGGGTGACACACACAGGGGTGACACACACACAGGGGTGACACACACACACACAGAGGTGACACACACACACTCACACAGGGGTGACACACACACACACACGCACACACAGGGGTGACACACACAGGGGTAACACACACACAGGGGACACACACACACACACAGAGGTGACACACACACACGCACACAGGGGTGACACACACACAGAGGTGACACACACACATGTGGGTGACACACACACAGACGTGACACACACACGCACACAGGGGTGACACACACACACAGGGGTAACACACACATACACACAGGGGTGACACACGCACACACAGAGGTGATACACACGCACACAGGGGTGACACACACACACACATCGGTAACACACACACACACACAGGGGTGACACACACACACACACACAGGGGTGACACACACACACACAGGGGTGACACACACACAGGGGTGACACACACACACATGGGTCACACACACACACATGAGTGACACACACACACACAGAGGTGACATACACACAGGGGTGACACACACAGAGGGCCGTGGTGACACACACAGAGGGCTGGGGTGACACACACAGAGGGCCGTGGTGACACACACAGAGGGCCGGGGTGACACACACAGAGGGCCGTGGTGACACACACAGAGGGCTGGGGTGACACACACAGAGGGCCGTGGTGACATACACAGAGGGCCGTGGTGACACACACAGAGGGCTGGGGTGACACACACAGAGGGCCGTGGTGACACACACAGAGGGCCGTGGTGACACACACAGAGGGCCGTGGTGACACACACAGAGGGCCGTGGTGACACACACAGATGGCTGAGGTGACACACACAGATGGCTGGGCGTTAGGGGTTGCCGGTGGTTTCGACAGAACTCGGAGCGATCGAGAACGACGACGCCGAGGAACGATCGAAGACGCAGAGGCGGCGACGGAGATCCGGCGAGAAGAGCCGCGTGCGAAACGCAGATTCAGAATGTTGATTCGCTCTGCAAGAATCCGATGAGCCACGAAGCTCTTATTCCACAGCTGCAGCAGCAGCAGCTCAAGGGCGGTGGGAACGAGAGAGAGGAGGGAGAGAGAGAGAGAGAGGGCGAGAGGGAATGCCGACGAGACAAAGATGCGAGAGAGATTGATTTCGGCGGAGCATGTTAATTGGGTGTGCACATTTAATTACGTGGATAAATTCCAGATTATATTTTTTTATTTCGTGAATCGTTCCCCTCCCCTCTGGCTCCCTGTTATTAGTTTGCTTGTGCCTCGTGCCACCAACTGCATAGAGCGCTGCACAGCGTGAATAAGTGGAACAGCCACAGTGGGCGTCGCAGACACGGATGCTGTGGTCTTGCTATGGGGCCGTCCATAAATGACGTCACGCAATTTTGGACGATTTTTGACCCCCCTCCCCTTCGTCACGCGGCGTCACAAAAAGTCAGACCCCCCTCAAATATGACGTCACAATGCTCTACCCCCCCCCCCCCCACAAAAATAATTCATGCTTCAAATCGCTTTAAACTAGTATCATTGTAGTGCGTATTTAATGTGGCGCTGCACTCTGATGTTGTAGGAGAAAACATTTATTAAAAAGTCGATTTAATTAAGTAGAACGTGTTGTCTATATTTATTTAAAGTTGCGCATTTTACGTGACGTCACATTTCTCAAACCCCCCCCCCGTCACACATCGTCACAAATGTCTGACGCCCCCCTAGGTGCGTGACGTCATTTATGAACGGTCCCTTTGTGCACATCATCAGCCATGACCTACCAATTGCTGGACAGCTTTTTGGATCGTGGCTGACTTGCCACGCACACGCGCGCTTTACTCGACGCTGGAAAAAGGGCGCTTTCGCCAGCGACGCGATCAATTCCCACGATGACGAGTTCGAGGTTCGATCGTAGCGGCCTCCCGTGGCTGCAAGGAATCTCGCGCTGACGCGTAACGTTACGGCGGATTCGTGCGCATCGGCAAACATCGATTCCCCTCTACAACCCGTGATGCGGCGCGTAAAGACGCGATGTTAAGAATCAGTGACGGGGGATCTGGAGGCGTTTCGCGTCTTAGTAAATGTGTCTAAAGAGTGCTCGGTTCAACCCACCCACCAGCTTGTGTGACGTGCGGCCTTCATAGGTTGCCACTCGCTAAACGCACTTGCTCCACAAGGCTGTTAAGGCTATACAGGAGGTGGGGGGGTCTTTGTCTTTGCGCTCTGGAACGATTGCACAATTGTGTTCCGTTTAAAAGGACATAGCAGTGATTCGAACGGGCATTTGTTGTTGTTGTTTTTGTCAGAATCAGAAAATGTAGACTGCAGGAGGAATCCGATGAGCTCTGAAGCTCTTTTTCACAGATGTCCAGTCAGGTCGGGTAAGGACGTCACAACAACAACAACAACCAGCAGTATTACAAACACGTTATTGCATGCTTTTCAATACAGAGCAGCTGTCCCGCATGAAGCAAGGATATCCGCCGTTATATGTCGTGTGCAGGTGGTGCAATTGCACTGGGGAGAGAAGGAGGCGGGAGAGGGGGGAGGGGTTAGGGCGGGTGAGATATTTTACATTTCATGTTTCGCACTACGGCACCAAATCACCGCTGTTGACATTAATCCCGCCGTACTCACAGGAAGAAGAGAAAAATATATTTAATCGCCTAATGTGCTGGCCAATGATCCTCTCCTTCAGAAGAGGCGTGCAGAGTGACGCCATTAATACACGCATCGATGAATACATTGATTCATGCGTTCACTTCTGAATTAATGAATGCACCCAAGTGTTAATGCGGGTGTCGCTGGACTATATCTGAACATTGAGTGAGTTTCGCCCCACCGCGGAGGGATCTGCTATTAGGTTCCCAATGGGTAAGAAATCTGTCGTTCCATGCCGTGCCTGTTTCAGTCCAAGCCTGGCCCGGATGCCCTTTCAAATGTCAGCGCTCCCTTCCGTGCGCTTTATACGTTTAAGTTATATATTTTTTTCCCTCTCTCTATTTTTTTTTAGCACGCCGCGCGTTCCCTACTTCTTCTAACCTTTGCGCGGAGGCTTCCATAAGGCGGGCTTATTGCCACCCCTGGGAAATATCCCCGGTATGTCAGCCGTGTGTTTGAGGACACCCGTCCAAGTATTTTCACAAAGAACTACAACACGAACACAACAAAAAAACACGACACCGGCCCGTTGTGGCAATTGCAGCAAAGCTTTCCAACAGCGCCCGTGCCCATATCTGTTTGATCGGTTTTGTTGTTGCAATGAAAGCAAGGAAATTCTCGTTTCAAAGCACGCACACACATATATGTGTATAAAATGTTGCCGTGGTGTGTGTTATGTGTGTAGAACTTCTTTCGCGCCGTACGTTGTCAAACTGTGCTCATCGGAGGTGGCTGGAGAGCGGGGGGCGTGGGGAAAGACAAAAAAAGATCCCCCGTATAGCCTTAACAGACTGTAGGGGCAAGTGCTGTTAGCGAGCACCTATAAAGGCCAGTACAGCACACGAAGGGGTGGGTGGCCAACACCACGCCCGGCCGCCTTTGTCTCCCCAGTAGCGATGTTTACACACCGCACCCAAATGCTCATTTGAGATTGAGTCGACCTAGGGGAGGCCCAGGACCGGTTCAGAGATAATCGTCACTGGTGTTGGCCGTGAGCGGGATTCGAACCCGGGTCGCCAGGTTCGTAGCGCAGCGCACTAACCGCTACACTACCGCTCCCCACAGGTAACGACAACACACTAACACACACACGCGCAAAAAAATGAGCAGTTGTAAAGAAACAGAGTTTTCAATCTGCAATGGGTCTTGGCGCACCGTGACTTGCAATCAAAAAGGCGACGATTCGATCCCATCTCTCTGCGCGGCAGCTGAAGGAACGGGGTCAAGTTTCTTGAACGGCCCAAACCGCCTCTGTCCTACCCGGCAGTAATGAGCACATCATAGTACAGGGTGGTCCAGATGTCTTGTGACACACCCCCACCCTCCAATTAATTGACCTCTTTGCATATTAATTTCTGTCTGTCCAGCGTAAAAGACGTTCTCTCTACAGCCCCTTTTATACTGGGTAAGCGCCTTCTACCAGCAGTGGCGTGAGCAGGCAATTGCAGGGCTGCACCGTTACCTGTTTTGTTTATTCGCTTACAGAGGGCGTCGCGGTCGCGAGATGTTAACTACCTCGCTTGGTTTACGGGAGGTCGTGGGTTCAAATGCTGACCCTGACGCCCGCTGTTATATTTGAAGTTTGCGTGTTCTCACCGTGGTCGTGTGGATTTGTCTCCGGGTCTTGCGGTTTTTTTTCCCTCCACATTTCGAAACGACACGCGTTCAGGAGTATTTGGCTGCTCTAAATATCCACGTGAATAATAATCCGCTTCGCTGGTTTATCATTTGTGAGCGACAGCTCGCTTCCAAAATAAAAGAGCTACATTGCTCAGTGGGCTTCATCTGGTCAAATAGAAAATCGTAGTTTCGAAAGATATTCTGGCTTTTTTGGGGAACCACAAAGCGATCTCCTTTCCACTCTGATTTGCTCTCTACCCCAGGACCCCCCCACTGCCCCTCCACCCCCCCCCCTACCCCCTTTACGGTGGCTGCACACAGATCGCGACAGGCGTGTGGGTGGCGAGCAAACCTTCGGGGGTGAGCGCGAGGCGAGGCGAGGTGGTCGGGGGTTTGTTGGCGGCTTTCTGTTGCGTGAGAGTGGAAACAGCGCCGTCTCACCGCCAGGGAGAGAGCTGGGGGGGGGGGGGTGGTGGTGGGAGAGGGGGTCACCTCCAGCTCGAGTGGTCTTTCGAGCCGCGCCAATCGTCACCACGAGGCGCTCCCCGGCTGTAACCCGACGTGTCGCTCCGTCTGTTGTTCCTTTCGAGCGGGCGCGGTTCGCGTCAGAGCGAGGGTGGTGGTGGTGGTGGAGGGGGCGGTGCGGTTGGTGAGTAGGGCACTTTCGTCGATGAGACATCATAGGCGTGTGTGTCAGTAGGGGCCGCCGCGCCATTTGAAACAATTGGGGGGTTTGTGCCAGCAGCACGATGATGATGGTGGTGGTGGGGGGGTGTTGTCACCATTTGTGTATTGTCGGGGACCACACGTCAGGGACGGAACTTAAGGTCACCAGGCCTCACCAGTGGGTCGCCGGCCTTGCAATGAAGGACACAGTCTGACTTAGACTCGCCCATCCACCCCCACCCCCTAACAGCAGTTGGTGGCAAAAGTGACATCTGAATATTATCTTCAGTTACAGTCCTTCACCAACCCACACTGACCAATGTGGTGAAGTATGGTCAACTGAATCCACCCATTGCCCCCCCCCGCCCACCCCCTCCCAATGGAGAGGACTTGATCTATAGATGGATCGATACCGGGCTATTAAATCATCATCATCGCCGTATTAGAAATATTGTTAACTTGCAATGCCTATTACGCGTCACGTGACCGTGTATCAGCGTAGGGACGAATTGTCACCGCTGTATCGCGAAAAATGCCATGAGCCTTTACCCAACACTCATTACGTTTCTCGATCCGTTTCATATCCAAGGCTCAACCCAGGGAGTCTTCAGAGCTAATTCCTTTCCTCTGTAGGTCATTCCATTGACAAATTACACATGCAATCATGGCTTTGACTTTGCCTTTCTCTATATATATGCCTTAACATAATGGGGTTTGCTGATATAAAGTATATATAACCATTATAACTGCATAGTCACGCCAATCCATGTGCAGTAATTACATATTACGCTCGGTGTAGTATATATATGGTGATCCATGTATATAGATATCACACTGACTTCACAGCCATTGTTTGAATGTTATGAAGGAGATTTTTTGCCTTTAAAAAATCACAGTTGCTGAGTACAGGGCCCAAAGGCCCCAATTCCGAGCGGCCAGCAACAAACAGCACCGATGAAGGTGTAGCAAACAGAGGACTTTGCGTTTCTTGAATTGAGCAAGGTGGTTCATAATGACTTGGGGTGAGAGGCGATGGAAGTGGCTTCCAAAGTGGAACGGTGCGAGGGAAGAAGCAGACAGCGAAGAGTTGTGAGCTGCAGTGTGGTGACTGAGTGGGTCCGTGAGCGAATGAGTGAGTAAATGAGTGAGTGGGTGTGTGAGCAAATGAGTGGGTGAGTGAGTGGGTGTGTGAACAAATGAGTGGGTAAGTGGATGAGTGAGTGAGTGAGTGGATGTGTGAGCGAATGAGTGGGTGAGTGGATGAGTGGGTGAGTGAATGAGTGAGTGGATGTGTGAGCGAATGAGTGGGTGAGTGGATGAGTGAGTGGGTGAGTGGATGAATGTGTGGATGTGTGAGCGAATGAGTGGGTGAGTGAGTGAGTGGGTGTGTGAGCGAATGAGTGGGTGAGTCAATGAGTGAGTGAGTGGGTGTGTGAGCGAATGAGTGGGTGACTGAGTGAGTGGGTGTGTGAGCGAATTAAAGGGTGAGTGAATGAGTGAGTGGGTGAGTGAGCGAATGAGTGGGTGAGCGAATGAGTGAGTAAGTGAGCGGATGAGTGAGGAGTGTGGTTGCTACATGCAGTGAACACAGTCCGTGTCTGGTAGAATCAACACGGGTGGAGGAACCAATGAGCGAAGTTTGTGGGAACAGTAACCATAGTAGTAGCGACAGAGGAGTGATAAGTAGATGACAGGCCATCAGTGAGCACGTGACGAGTGGCTCAGTGAGTGCTGGATCATTAGTCAGCCTGACTGATTTACGTTGATTTATGGCTCCGTATTTCGACAAAAGTTAATCAGGGCAAGGTTTTGATGGGAGAGACGAGTAGAGGCTATAAATTAAATGTATATTTATTTATATATAATATGATTCCGTGGGGTATCTATACGTGGATCAACCTGTAGCATGAGGAAGTCGGGTTTTTTTTTCATTAGGCATTTGGTGAGCGGCTGTTTGGGCCGAAAATGCCAATTTGTATCAGAATACCAGACAAATCCCGCAATAACTTTTGCAATAATGAGAGTCTTAGCTGAACTAACAAATGCCACCCCGATGTAATTTCAGCAAAGTGTCCAAATGCAATTTCGCGCAAGAGAGTGGATTGGACCGTCGCGGTGTGCATTAAAGAACGGTGTTCTCTTCTTTGGTTCTTTCGGTAAAGTCACGTAGAATGAGAATAAAATAATACATTGATAAAATAAAATAACACAATAATATTCTCACGACGTTCCTCATTCTACGTGACTTTACCGAAAGAACCAAAGAATATGAATCCTTGCAGTCACGAAAGCTTTAAATCGAAACGGTGTTCTCTTCACGTGGTGGACATGCTGACAACCTTCGCGTTAATTCACGGCAATCATCACGATATTGTATACGTCTGTTGGACTTCCTTCGCACCGTACGTAGCCAGCGTGCGTCTCGTTCCGTTCTGGTATTTTTTTTAATAAGAAAAATAAAATAAAATTTTTTACAAATAACTTGCGGCCCTCTGCTCTTCTGAAATCAAGGCCTCCCACGTGCCCTGTCGGGGAGCGGTGGTGTGGCAATTTCGCGCGCTGCGCTGCGAACCCGGCGTCCCGAGTTCGATTCCCGCTCACGGCCAACAACGCGTGACGATTAATTATCTGAACGGGTCCTGGGCCTCCTCGAGGTCGACTCAGCCTTAAATGAGTGCCTCGTGCGGTATGTAAGCATCGCCACTGATGGCCAGCACCACGTCGTGTGACGTTACCGGCCTTCATAGGTGCTCGCAAGGCTATACGGGGGATCTTTGTCTTGACTATACTTCACCACGTTGGTCCATATGAGTTGGTGATTTAAATAAATCGTTGGGGGAGGCTCAGGATCGTTATCAAATGAACGAGACTCTTCCAGATTCGTCGGTGCCAGACCCAAAAGGCTGCCCTGTAATGCTGGCGGTTGAGTGCCCTGTGCCATCATTGGCACCGCGGTCAGAAACTCTCCTGGCACTCATTAAACAAAGGCAACATGAGAAACGAGCGTACCTTTACTTTACCGTGCCCCCTGCCTCGCCCACCCACCCCCCTTTTCATGGGATATCACGCTTCCATAGCTGTCAAGCCATACGGTTTGCCCCGTATTCTTTTACAGCAGGGAAATTGAGTTTTCAGGTCCATACGGCGTACAGCCGTTTCAATACGGGCAAAACACATTTTTTGTCTATTTGTTTGTGTATCTCACCTTGTGATGGGACTTTGTAGGATGAACGTTTAGATTTAAAAGGGGCAATGGGGTGACCAATAGGGTCAGAATTGGTCTGTAACAAGGTATGGCACTGATAAGGGATTTACAGGAATGTAGTGGTGAGTATCGCGGTGAGTATAGTAGTGGTGAGTGTAGTAGTGGGGATTGTCTATTTGTTTGTGTATCTCACCTTGTGATGGAACTTTGTAGGATGAACGTTGAGATTTATAAGGGGCAATGGGGTGACCAATAGGGTCAGAATTGGTCTGTAACAACGCATGGCACTGATAAGGGATTTACAGGAATGTAGTGGTGAGTATCGCGGTGAGTATAGTAGTGGTGAGTGTAGTAGTGGGGATTGTCTATTTGTTTGTGTATCTCACCTTGTGATGGGACTTTGTGGGATGAACGTTGAGATTTATAAGGGGCAATGGGGTGACCAATAGGGTCAGAATTGGTCTGTAACAACGCATGGCACTGATAAGGGATTTACAGGAATGTAGTGGTGAGTATCGCGGTGAGTATAGTAGTGGTGAGTGTAGTAGTGGGGATTGTCTATTTGTTTGTGTATCTCACCTTGTGATGGGACTTTGTGGGATGAACGTTGAGATTTTATAAGGGGCAACGGGGTGACCAATACGGTCTGAGTTGGTCTGTAACACAGGTAGCGGCACTGATAAGGGGATTGACAGGTTTCACGCTTCAGCTAAAAACAATCCCTTCAGCTCTCGCATGTTGCATTGGCAGCCGCTGCACGATGACCGGGGGATGGGTGGGGGGGAGTAACTAATCATCATCATCATCGTCATCATCGTAATCTGCATTTGTCGAGCGCGCAGCGCATGCACGATGAGCCGCGTGGCGGAGAGCGGCGTTGAGGGGCGGAAACGGAGCGAGGCTCTTGGCAGGAGAATCTTCTCCCTCGTGCCGCGGTGTATCTCACGGCGTTCACCCTCCGCCTGATCCCCTTCCTCCCCTCCCCACCCCCTGATTAGCATCGCGTTCCCTCGCCAGCTGCCCTCCCCCCCCCCCCACGTAATCCCCCCGACATCCCCCGTTCACGCCACAGCCGTTGAGCTAATTAATGCAAATAGGTGACGCTCAGCCATCACGGATGCACGGGGCGTTGCGACGGTGAACGTGTTGCGGGCCCCGAAAGCGGCTCCCCCGTGCCACTCCCGGCGGACGAGCCTCTTGCCATCGGGAGCTCTGGCGGTGGCTCGTTTTTGTGAGGATATTCTTGGCCAGGTGTTGTTTTTTGTTATTTTATTTCTGTGTTGGACGGGTTTTGGAGATACCCACACTTTACCCCCCCCCCCCCCCACCGCCTACCGCACGCGACGCTCTTGATTGACTTAGAGGCCGTCCGTAAATGACATCACGCGATTTTGGACGATTTTTGACGCCGCCCCCACCCCCCATCGTCACACGACGTCACAAAAAGTCAGACCCCCCCCTTAAATATAACGTCACAACGCTCTGCCCCCCCGCCCAAAAAATAAAACATGCTTCAAATCGCTTTAAACTATTGTCCTTGTAGTGCGTATTTAATGTGGCGCTGCACTCTGATGTTGTAGGAGAAAACGTGTATTGAGAAGTCTACTTAATTAAGTAGAACGTGTTGTCTATATTTATTTAAAGTTGCGCATTTTGATGTGACGTCACATTTCTCAACCACCCTCCCCCCCCTCGTCAC